TCTTCACTTGAGACCAAAAAAAGGAAAAAAAAACAAAGGCTATAAAAACTGTCTGCTAAAATGGGTCATCAACCGTGTGACGTTGTAAAGGCCAATGTTTGCCTAACACGCAACTTCGGGATTAACATTCATTGATTCGTAAGGACACCTTTGATCATAGCGGCGATATGGGCTGCTTCGATACGGGAGTTCAATAGTTGGTAAATATTACACAGTTGTTATTACACAATTGGTGAATTGATCATCACGTGTTGTTGCTTGTTTTTTCTTTAATATCATTGATTCATTTATTTTCCGTTGTTGTAAAAGGTCCCGGACTAACTAATCAATATTCAAGTCTGCTGGTTTAGTTTTCCAGGTTTTAATAAAGTTATAAGAGTTGTGTTGTTAGTATAATTAGTTGTTGTTGTTTGTGCTGCTGGCGAAAATGATGGCGGGATTGTTACTGTGGCGTATGCAGTTGATGAAACTAATACTAAAAATGATCGTGTTGCTGCTAATCAGTTGTTATTCAGGACGGCTACGATGATATAAACGCTGATGAGTAACGGATGTGGTTTTTGCTTCTTCTTAAACCTTCCAGTCAATCCATGCCACATGTTTGAAAATCTTTTTTTCAGTGTTATATTATCAAGCAGGAGATAGTATTTGTGTGATCTATTTATAACATTGTCTGAAACATACATATCATCATCATCATCATCGTCATCATCATCATCATCTTCATCATCATCATCATCGTCATCATCATCATCATCATCATCATCATCTGTTTTTAGTCACTTTCATCATAAGCAGCATCTAATACACTATCTTATCTCGCTTGTTTACAAACATTGGAGAACTTACAATCGCTGCCTCCTTTTCATCATTATCATCATCACCATCATCATCATCATCACCATCATCATCATCACCATCATCATCACCATCATCATCATCATCATCACCATCATCATCATCATCACCATCATCATCATCATCACCATCATCATCATCATCACCAACATCGTCATCAACATCTTTTATTTTTTTTCTATTTTTTCTTCATCATCATCATCACCGTCATCCCCAAAATTATATGTTATCATTGTCATCATCATCATCATTATAACATCATCATCATCACCACCACAATTATCATTATCATCATCATCATTAGTACTATTATCATTGATACTAATCGTCATCACTTTCGCAAATGTTTATGCTGAATTAAACTTTTTCAAATACTATTCATTATCAACTTCATATGTCATCATCATCATTATCATCACCATCATCAAAATCATCATCATCATCCTTATCATTATTTTCCTGCTTCTCTTCCTCCTCATCGTCATTATCATCATTATCTAACATCATCATCACCATCATCGTCATCATCATCGTCGTCGTCGTCATCATCATCACCATCATCGTCATCATCATTTAAACCTTCATCCGTTGCAAACATTGCAGGCATAGATGACTCACCACTGCAATGAGTTTAAAAGTTAACATAAATCAGAAGAAGAAGCAAAGAAATTACAAGTGAAAAAGAATAAAACAAAGAACCTTGAATTTGAATTCTAAAAATAGATCTCTCTTTCTCTCTCTCTCTCTATC